AGTCCTGGCCACTTGGTAGATAATCGTCATGAGCTGCCTTGTGTATCCGCAAAAGACATGTGGAAGTCCTAATCCCTGGAACCCGCGAAGGTGACTGTTTGGACCAGAGGTCTTTGCAGATGTACTCAGGTAGGATGGGGCCATGCAGTTGGGTCTTCAGGCAGGGACACTGGAGTCTTTATAAGAGGAAGGAAATTTAAAGACACATACACAGAGCATGTATGTCCTGTGGGGACTCAGCACACAGAGGAGGTGGTGTGATCACAAGGCAGATATTAGAGTGGTTGAGCCTAAAGCCATGGGAAGCAGGAAGGAGTCTCCCCTCCAGGCTTGAGGTGGAGTGAGGTCCAGGTGACACCTCGATTTCAGACTTTGAGCCTCCAGAACTGTGAGGAATGCATTGTGATTGTTCCCAGTGTCTGGGGCTCTTTGTTACACAGCTCTAGGAAGCTAATGTAACATTCAGTAAGCACCTGGGGGACTTGTAAGAATCTTCCTGTGCATGGTGCATAGGGTTGGGCCTCAGCATTCATACTTCCATAGTCCTGTCCTAGGACATTTTTACTTTCTGATTTCTACCAATCTACCGATCATCCCATTTAGATCATTGTCTGGTTTTATGCTACTTCATTACAGAAGACTTTGTTTATTATGGAAGAAAGTTCTGACAGGTACCACATTAAAAAAAATATTAAGGTGTTGTCCGTAACGTATGCCTGCGTCCCTAAGCAGCTGCATTGGATCGCTGATGGGCACTTCTTTAGCAACAGATGTTTGTTTCAGGGAGGAAGCAGGGAGGATGTTGCTCCCTCCCCTCTTCTCCTTTCTGCTGGCAAGAAACAGAACCAAATCAAAATGACCTTAAAAATAAGGAAATGTGTGTTCTTGCAAAATAGGGTGCTCAGGCTCAGGGGGAAGGCAGGTTCCAGGAGAGCTTTCCCGGGACTCGGGTTCTCTTTGTCCAGCCTCATGCTAAGGTCGTAAAGCTGGTGTGCTGCGGGGGCAGGCAGCCTGCTTCCTGGCTCACATCCTGTGGGTCTCTTTGATGTGTTTCTCACTAGATCTGGGGACTTTCCCCAGCAGCCCCTCCAGCTGCCCTCTCTCCCAACAGGGTGGAATTGGCATCCTCTGGATGGACGGCTGCTGGAGACCCAGGCCTCCCCACAGGCTCCAGATTCACAGCTCTTATTCCTGCTGAGCAGGCAGAACAGTGCACCCCAACAACCCTCGGGTCCTAATCCCCAGGACCTGGGAACACACTCTCTTATAAGTCGCATCTGCAAAGGGACTCTGCAGAGGTGATTCAGTTAAGGACTTTGAGACAGGGACATGATCCCGTATCTTCCCGGTGGGTCCAGTATAATGACAAGACTTCTCATGCGGAGGTGGCCCAGGAATAAGTTAGAGGACAGGTAAGGACCAAAGGAGGGTCAGAGAAGAGGTAGAAAAGAGAGAAGATACCACACCTCTGGACTGAAAATGGAGGAAGGGGCCGTGAGCCAAGGAATGGAGGAAGCCTCTGGAAGCTCATAAGGGCAAGGATCTCCCTGCAGACCCAGAAGGAACACAGTTCTGTCCGTACCTTGATCTAAGTCGGTTAAGACCCGTATTGGACTTCTGACTTTTAGAACTGTAGGATAATAAATCTGTGTTGCTTTTAGCCACTAAGTTTGTGCTACTTTATTGCACCAACTAAAATACCATCTTTTGTGGAGGTTGACCTTGAATCTATATAGACCATTTCTAAGATCAAGCATCTCCTATTTATTTAGAACCTTTTATGGTGTATATAGTGTAGAAGGTAGACACATATGTAGGGAATAAACAAAAGACAAACCAGTCTCTGGTCCGGCCTCCAGGTAGGCCCAGCCTGGTGATTTGCTCTAAAATGGCGAATATCAGTTCATTCATATCCCAGCGCTGGGTACTGGGAATTCAGAACCATAAAGATCTTGTCCTCCCTCACAAGTGGCTGAGCGCCTCAGCCAGTGATCTGGTTCCATAAATATTCTCACGATCAAGTCGAGCCTCTTCCAGATGCTTTCCCTGTCTTTGTAGCTGTGGCTGGTTTCCTCCCATTCAAACCTGCTGATTGGTGTTTTTTTAAGTTCTAGGGAGGGCCGGGAGAGCAGGGCTATTGTTAAGCACTGCACACTGAGACCTATTTTTAGGGTATCCTGTGTTGCTGAGATCAGCAGAGTCCAGCTCTGGTCCTGGGTGCACAGGGGTCGTCCTCTGCCCCAGCCCTCATGCCAGTTGGACGGAGACACTGCTGTTGGGATGTTTTCCCTGCAGTTCTTCATTTCCTGTCCTTTGTAGGGTTTCCTGTTCTGCAGAGGCCCAGGGGCAGGGCACATGCACATTGTGTTCAGAAACGACTTGTTACACCCAGTAGCCCAACTGCTTCTGGGAAGCGGTGGGCTGTCTGGGGGATGAAATAAGTCTATGAAAATATCTGGGAAGGTAACTGAAGTAATGGGGCAGAGGAATGGAGTGGGGGACCTGGGCTTTGAGGTGATGTTTTCCAACCTTCTAATTCTCTCTTGAGGGTAAAAAAGGGCATAGATTATTAACTTCCAGCATTCTCCAAAGCAGCTTAACCAAGATGGAGCTCAGTCCTTGGGGTCCCACAAGTTAGTTCTGGGTTCAAGAACCAAAGGACTGGCTGAGAGCTGGCTATAGCAAGCCCTAATGTCCATAATAGTGTGTAGAGGGGTAGGTTTGGTGTGGTGTTTGTTCTCCACTGTGCCCTTCCTATCTTCTTTGTCTGTATTAAGCTGAATGGATAAATGCACCAGTTATGGAGATTCAGTCTGGTGGAATCTCATTTACTGCCATATGACCTAGGACAAGTTGTTTGAAGCGCTTTTCCGGCCTGTAAAATGGGTATAACAACAATACCAGCACAACCAGGCATCTAGCAAGGATTAAATGAGTTTCCAGGTTCTAAGATCAGTGCCAGGAAGTCCTAAATACTGGCATACCTTTTTATACCTAACATTTTAAGTGATTATTCTCTAACATTTTAGGTGATTGCGTGCTATTCCATTGTGTGCCTCTGTTCTGCAGTTTATTTAACCAGATCCCTATAATGGGATTGGGTTTCTAGTCTTTTGATGTTGTAAACAACGTTTCGATGACTACTTTCATAGGTAAAGATTTTCTCTCACCCTTAATTATTTCCTCAGGTTAAATTCTACGATTAGAATTGCTGGGTCAAAGAGGGTGCATATTTTTTAAGGCATTTTCTTGATAGATGCTACCAAATTTTCCTCCAGGATAGTATTAGTCTACACTCTCACCAGCAATGAATGAGTGTGCCAATTTCCTTCTGTGGCCAGGTTATTAACTTTTAATCAAATGAAGGCCTTGGGAAAAAAAAGGAGCTATTTCCTTGGGGATAAAGCAATCCTTATTCTTGCTTATAAACGAGCAATAAAAGCTCTGGACAACCTGAAGCTCACCCAGAAGGTGGGTAGAGCATGTGAGAACAGCGCCCTCTACTGGCTGTCTCTGGTGGAGAGGTGTGAACCGCGGTTGATGGTGATACAGAGATGATCATGGTCTCCCCAGCCTGTTGGGTGGGGATGCCAGGAAGTGAAGGGCTGCAACATTTAAAAGACTTCTAGACACTTAAAAAGTCAGCCTCGAGTGACATTTACTCCTTGCTTAGGTTCTTTTATAGCAGTGATTCTCATCAAGGGATGATTTCCCCCCAGGAACACTTGGCACTATCTAGGGACACTTCTAAGAGCCACCAATCTGAGGGAGTACAGGATGGGAAGGCTGCCGCCATCTAACAGTGCCCAGGACAGCTCCGTGGGCAAATTCAGTAGTTGAGGTGGGGAGACCCTGTTGTAGAGGAGGGGAAGAATTGCCCTGGGAAAGCTTCTCTTTTCAGGCTAAAAGGAGATATGGAAATATTCGCATTTCATATGTGTCACTATTATTATTAGTAGTATCTGATTGTAGAAACCTGTTAGTTTTCCAGAATAAAAGGGAAAGCAGGTGGAACTGAAGCACCAAGTTGCCATTTGTAGAAGACAGGGCAGAGCAAAATAAAACCCCTAACGTCACGTGCACTTATAAAAGAGGGACTTTTTTCTATGGTCTCGACTTGGTAGAAACTGATATAATTTCTGTGGCTTTCCCTGGAAGGCCTTATCTTGAAAAGGGAGTGCTTTATTTGACTCTTTCCCCCAGTTTCACAAGCACCCGTGTTTTCCTATCATTTGTAATTGCTCCTTCCAGTGAGTGACTGCCATCTGAGATTATAGAGGCTCCCCCCATACCCCGGGAAGTGCTGATTTGAGCATTGTTCCTAAGAAGGGGAAAGGAAGGGTGTGTCCCAAGGGAAAGTAGGACAGGAGTTTTGGGAAAATCAAACTATGCGGCCCCTACCTTCCATATTTGGCTGGGCTTGAAGACCTTTGTCACTGGAGTGGCCCAAAACACTCAAAAATGTTCTGTGGCTTCATTTTGCGTTAACTTGCTGTTCTCTGAATGGCTTGCATTTTCGAACATGTATCTTGAAATAATTAACTAGAGAGGCTCTTAATAATGTTAAGAGGATTATTTGGCCAGAAATGGGGGCACAAAAATCGACTTTTAGCTTTCCCCTAAATGTCAGATGCTGTTTTGATCATCTTATATGGGAAGTATTTGTTTCAACTACAGGTCCCATTCATGAATTGTAAAGTTTATTTCTGAAGCACAATCAGCTTTATAAAAATATATGTACATCAGATAGAATAGGAAATACCAGAGTATCATACAGACTAACCACAGCCTTAGTTTGGCCTTATACAAGCATGTCACCATGCATACATATGTGTACATACTTGGTTTATATACACGTACACATGTCTGTGATGAGACATTTGGGGGGCAGTGGCTTAGGTTTTATGATGTAAAATCTGGGCTTTTTTTAAAGTTCCTACAAAGATCTCAGGGATTCCTGCTTGTAAGCAGTCTCTCAGTTTTATCTGTTAATTTTTCAGGTGGTACCAGGGAGATCGGCTCAGCTCTCACCAGGATGTGCATGAGGCACAGAAGCATCGAAGCCAAGCTGAGGCAGTTTTCCAGGTGAGGAGCATGTTTTACCTCAATCCATAATGTCCTTGCTGATCTCAGGGGAAGGAGGCAGTGATGTGTACAGTATCACCCCTTTCGCAGAATGGTCTCCCTATAGCATTTAGGGCCCCACATCCTTGCCTTCCCCTGGTCCTGCTCATTCATTGAATAAGCATTGTTGGGTGCTGGTCTAGGTACTCCAGATGCAGCTGAGAGCCATGGGCCAGGTCCCTGCCCTAGGGACCTGCACTTCCCTTCAGATCATCTCTGGAATGCTGCATGGGTCTCACCTTCTCTCCTGTCAGTTGAGGAGCCAGAGGGTCCTAGAGAAATGGCAGGGGCTGGCATAGGGATCTGGAGTCACCAATATTGAGATGAAAATGGACATGATCCCCCAAGGAGATCAGCCAATTCAGCAGCGTCTCACAGTTCTGTTTGGGAGAATAAAAGAAGGACATCTGGAGATATCTTCCCTTCTTGATGATCTAGAAGCCAGCAGTACAGACCTACAGTTTTCTGGGTCTCTTTCTCCAGGCTGTGCACAATTAGTGTACATCATAATTTATAATCCTGAATGCACATCAGAACTGTTAGGTCTTTTAAAACTAAGTAATGCTTGGTCCCCACCCTCAAGGTTTTTACAAAGGGCCACTTGAGACCCAGGTGTCTTTGCTTTTGGGTGGTTCTTGATTTGCAGTCAGAGGGGAGATGCCCGTGTTCTGCAACCTGGCTTGTTAATCTGATTGCTGGAACACAGCTGGGAAGTGAGAAGAGGGGTCAGTCCAGCCACTGACGTGTATGTAGCCTCTCAATAGTCATTAGAAAGCAAGCATCCAGGCTGTTCCCAAGCTGTGGAGTTCTGAGTGAATGTCAGCTCACTAGGCAGCCTTTGCTTGCTTCAAGGAATTGTGATTTAGATTTGTTTTGACAACCAAATGTAAGTCTTGACAACAGAATGTATCTATTTAATTTCTCCTTTTTTTCTCTTTGGATAAAAGTGCTTTAATTGATTGTCTGATAAATCCACTGCAAGAACAGATGGAAGAATGGAAGAAAGTGGCCAATCAGCTGGACAAAGACCACGCAAAAGGTACAGGGCGAGAGGTCTGACGCCTCGTAGCGCAGTGCGAAGAGCTGTGGATGTTGCCAGCTGCTGCCTGGTGGCAAGAGGGCTGGGCCTCTCTTTCCCTGCTTCTCCTGTGTCAGGAGACGAGCAGTCCAAAGTGATCCCATTGTGAGATATTTCCTGGCGTGCAGTATCACTCCACTGATAGCCTGAACTCTTGGTGGCAGTGCCATCCGCTGAATTAAAATGAATTATAATGGCAGGCTTCAGTGCCAAACATTTATACTTAAGGCATTTCAGAACATTTTGAAAGCCAAGACTCCAATGATAAAAGCTTACCTTGGGTCACCTGCTCAGAGCTGGGCCTTCCCTGTACTGTCTCTAGAGAGAGAAGTCTTCACTAACTGGTTTAGTTAATCACTGGGGACCTTGAAAGCAGGAGAAGGAGCAAGGTGTAATCTGCAGAGGAAGTAGCACTGCTACTCTTCCAAGCGAGTGTTTTGTGTTCCTTTTGCACAGGCCAAAGACTGTTTGATAATAAGGCCTCATCCCGTGTTGGGGTCATTCTGAGTTCTGTGTGTGCTAAATGTTGGGGGGTCTGCAGAAAGACGGGCATGGAATCTAATAGTACAGGAACAGATCAGCCCTGTTCAAGGCAAAGTGGGCCCTAGTGAAGACCAACCAGTGCTCTGGGAACACGGATGGACCACTCTTGGTGGCTCTTTGCAGCCATGGGGATGGTTTATTTCATTTGTTTTGGGCTATGAAATGGACCTTCTTCCACATCCTCAGAGCTGTCAGTAACCACCAGGAAGTTGTACATTCACTCACATTCATCAATCACGCACTTAGAGCTGCCGTGTCCATACTGTGTCCCATGTCTTTGTACTCGCTGGGACCACAGAAACAATAAATAGATCTGTATGTCCTATAAAATATATTAATCACAGCTGATGGGCTCTTGTGGTTCCTGTCTTCACTGTTATTGAAAACCAGTCTTTTAAAGAACTTTAGCCAATCATTTTGATAAAAGAAGGGACTGGAGAAGACTTGTGTGGTTGAAATTTCCTAAGTGTGGATACAGTAGCCAGATATTTAACAATCATATAAAAAGTTAATATAAAATCCTTGACCCTTCCACCCCAACCTTTTTAAAAGTTTTGATTCACCTTTAATAGAGAAAATAGCATCTCATATTTCTCTTAAAAGTTATCATTAAAAAAAAAATTTCCTTCTTTAAGATCTACCCCCAGTGGCACTTCCCATCTGGGACTAGCTCTTGTGTTTGATACAATCACTTGAAGTTAGGGAGACCGACAACTTGGAAGGATTTACTGTCCTTCAAATACGTGTATTAACTAAGGCATGGTTGCTTTCTCTTAGGTTCCCTGGATGTGTCTCTTTACCTCCATTAGATTAAAAAAAGAAAAAGAAAGAAAGAAACAAACAAACATCGGAAAGGTTTTTTGTTTTGTTTTTTGTTGTTGTTGTTTTTTTTTTAAGACAAGGAAAAAGTTGATGTTTTCCATTTGACCTTCCCACCTGTGTCCAGGCTACCTCTTTATTCATTGTGCACATTTGGTAGTCCTGCAAAGCTGATTTGATAGCAAAGACTTCAAAATTGGATGTGGAAAGCTTTTGTAAGGGCGGTTTTGCTGAGCCCGCGGGGAGAAGGCAGCAGGACTCTTGGAGCTCTGCTTCATCTCTCATCCAGGACAACCAAGGTCCCTTGATTTTAACGGAATACTCCCCCGCCCCCATCCCAGGTAGACACAGAGAAATGCTTCCCCGTTTTCCCTGAGGGATTCACATCCCGAGGCTGATACGGAGCCTGGGCCTGACTGAATTTAGACCATTGCCAGGCTCTGCACCCCTGCTAGCTGACCTGTGTCTGGACCAGTGGTGGGGGGGCAGGTGCCAACCCCCAGGCTGGTGGCAGAGCAGTTGTTCACCTTTTCAGCTCAGATTTCACTGAGAAGACATGCCTGGTAGCAGCACCTGTCACTCCCTCTGCACCTGGTGCCTCAGGGTGGGCAGAGGAGACCAAGTCACTACTGCTTCCCTCGGGGAAGATGAGAACCGAGGGCAGGGTCCAGGATGGGGCAGGGAGAGAGCAGGGTGCTGCAGAAGCTGAAGGTGGCCAGCCACGAGTTTGGTGGAGGAATTAGACATCGAGGTGCTGTTTTGAGAGGAATCCTAACGGACAGACATAGTTTCATCACCCTGAACTTGGGGCAGCTGGGGAGGTGACCTCTCCAGCCCAGTGAGCAAGCTCTGCAGAGAGGTGGGGAAGACGGTGCAGCATCAGAGCAGAGCAGGAACCTGCCCAGGCTGCCGGGCTAAGGGGGGGGGCAGCTACAGTGCTGAGAGCAGGACCGAGGAGAGGGACAGGGACCGAGCTGGGCTTTAGGAGAGCTGTTCTGGCCATGGTTTGTTTATTCCTTCCACAAATGTGTCTCTGTACGCTTTGTGCCTTGGGAAAGTAAATAAGATTAAAAATCTTTCCTGACCCTCGAGCAGAGAAATTGTGAATTTTTTTTTTAATTAAAATGGACCCAAATGATGTCTGTCCTCAAAGCTGGCACCATAGGGCAAGACGGCATGCATTTTGTGGTGGTCACTTTTGCTTTTGCAGTCCTGGGGACTGAACCCAGGCAGGTGCTCTTCACCGAGGTGCATCCCAGCCCCATTTCATGGTTTCTCATGTTAATAACCTCTCTGTGGTAAAATGTCAGCGTGGGATTTTCCTCATAGTGTATTTCCACAAAGCTGTTTACTGCATGTCGGAGTTTGTGTGCCCTGTGAGGAAGGCAATGGCTGTTCCTAAAATACTTTCTGTGGAGCAAAGTAGTAAAATTATTGAATATTCTTTTTTTCTCTTAGAATACAAAAAGGCTCGCCAAGAGATAAAAAAGAAGTCCTCAGATACACTGAAACTGCAGAAGAAAGCAAAAAAAGGTAACTCCGAAAATTGTGTCATTGATGTTGTCATTTTGAGAAAACATGAACAGGTTCTGGATCCGTCTTCAAAGCAGGTGTTCTGTTCGTAGACTTAGTGTCTGATGGCCCTGGAGAACCCATAGGGGCAAGTAGGACCTATCCGAGTTAAAGCTCTCTAAGTGCAGACTGCGTGTGAATTGGAAGCCCCTGCCAAGCCGGACTTGACTTGTTCCTTCCCCTACCTTTGTCTTCAAAATCTGACGGCTTCCATGCCTACTGTGCTTTGTAATGAAAGCTACAAATTTCTTGGAAGCCTTGGGAGAATGCAAAGAAAGCTTTATGCAAATGTTCTATAGTAATTATTACAGAAATCATGTCATTTTCTCCTCCATCTTTCACAGCCTATAATCTCCGAAACCCTCTATTAATTCTTGGGAGAGTGTTGGGGATGGCTGCAGCAGGGGCCGGAGTCACTGCCGCTTGGGGGATTTTCCAGGGTGTTCATGAGGGAGGAGCTTAGTCGCTCACCAGTAAGGGGAACTAGGTGATGCAGGGTCCCCTCCCTCTGCCTCCTTGTTTAACATCACTCTCAAACCAATGGAGGGTCACATCCATGACCTTTGCTCCCCAGAGCAGAAAAATCGAGCTAAATCCACTTTGCAAGCATTCATGTTAGAAAGGCCTAGAATGTAGGAATTTTCTCAGGAGGTGGAGAAGGGGATATTCCTTCCAGACTGTTCTTCTTGATACCAAGTTTTTGAATCTGCTGCATCCTGACTGATAAAATGGTATTCTTCCTTCACGCTGCTGTGTGGGTGGTATATAGTATTAATTTGTGATACCAACCTTTATAGGTAGTGATCCCCCAAACCCAATTTTCTCTTTCCTAAACCACCAGGTCTCATTTGGATTTAAAAGAAAATGCATTTGGGGATACTGAATGGTGGAAGGTGTTGGGTCAGGGGAGGTGATGTCTAGACGAAGGATTTAAGCTTTGACATTAAGAAAAAAAGTCCCTTCCCTCTCTCAATTCTTACAAAAGCCATAAGCCTGTTTCAGAATTAAATCAGATGGATTTTCACCCACAGTCAGATTCCCAGTCCCCTTCAGATCCAGCGGTTTCTTTGGGATGTGTTTTTCTGGTTTGGAGTGTCTCAGATTTACATTCCATCTAATGAGGGCCCCTGGGAGCTCGTGTTGGACAAGTAATAGGGTTTGTGGCCAGTAACACCTTAGTGAATCTAAAGGTGAATGTTGGTAAACAAAATTGCTACCAAATCTCATCAGCTCTGAGTCCCTGTGAAGAGTGGGCTGGTTCTTCTTGTTGACATCTTGGCACTTTAGAGATAGGAGGGATTAATGGGCTCAGAGAGAAGGGCCAGGAGAGATGTGTAGGCTTAGAAAGGTCTCGGCGTTTGGTGAAAAGGATGAGGTAAGAAAGAGAGGCTATTTTCCCTTAGCTTCCTGGAGTTCTCTTTTCAGAGGCCTTAAGTTCTGGCTGCAGAAATAACCCTTTTATCTAAGTTCTGCATGAAAGCAAAAGGGTCCTTGCCTGCCACTCAGAATTACTGGCATTGTCCAGTTAGCAGAATGTGGACCTCTGGGTGAAGCCTGATAGGTTGCTCACAGTGCAACATAAAAGGAAGTTTCTGGCAATTAGACGTGCCTAGCCCTGGCTCAGGCTGCCTGGAGGATAACAAGATGCCCGTTGGAGCCAGACGGGGTCCTGGGCTGTGCATAACATGAAATGTGTCTGGCTGTGGGACTTGGGAATAATTGGCCTTGAGTTGAGAGGTTTCCTGGGGGCACTTGGGCCTGAGGCTGAGGGACTGCAGCCTGTGATCAGGGGCTTCTGGAGCAACTGTCTTTTTGGCCATCTCAGGCACCACGTCCTTTTCAGATAGTGGACTCCTGTCTACAAAATCAGTCATATCTGTAGCTTTCAAGGTTCTGGATGATTTTCTGGTTACTTCAAGGGACAATCAGAAGATGATCTTTTATTTATTCATTTTTAATTTAAAATTTTACTTTGAGACAGAGTCTTGCTCTGTGTCGTTGCCCAGGCTGGTCTTGAACTTGGCGATTCTTCTGTCTCAGCCTCCCAAGTAGCTGGGATTACAGGCCCAGATCTTATTTCTTTTCTTTATAAATGTATTTTTTCCTAAAATGTGTAAGTACATTTTGGGGCCAGGTGCTCATCTTTGCATATGTCTGGAAGTGAACGTAGCCTTCCAGAATGTACCAGAGGTATTGTTCTGACCACACTCTTGTGGAGTGTTCTCTTAGCAGGCATGTGACCCATGATTGGAATGAAACACCACAACTGAAAGGACCAGAAGAAATCTGAAGGCTTTGATTATTTGGGGGTTGGTTAGCTGAAGTTTTCCTTTGTGCTAGAAAACCTCTTAAATTATCTGGTTCATTTCCATCAAGGGCCAGTTTCCTGCAATCTTTTTTTTTGTGTGCTGGATATTGAACCCCCGTGTGCTTTACCACTGAGCCACATCCCCAGCCCTTTTTATTTTTTATTTTGAGACAGGGACTCACTAAGTTGCTTGGGACCTTGCGAAATTGCTGAGGCTGGCCTTGAATTTTAAATCCTTCTGCCTCAGCCTCAGCTTCCTGAGCTGTTGGGATTACAAGCAGCCCTGATTCCTGAACTCTTAGATTATAAAATGTTAGCATGTTAGGATGGAATGAAGACTTTGGATACATTTTTTGTTTGTTTGTTTGTCCTAACAGAACTGAATCTGACTTATAGCCAAATAATCATTTTCTTTTTAATATATTCTCAGGAATGTATAAAGCAGGGTTTTTGTTTTGTTTTGATTGATCTTTAAAAAAATATTTATTTTCTAGTTTTCAATGGACTTTTATTTTTATTTATTGATAGGCGGTGCTGAGAATTGAACCCAGTGTCTCACACATGCTAGGCAAGCGCTCTACCACTGAGCCACAACCCCAGCCCGTTGTTTAGATTTTTTACTATACCTTTTTCAAAAACTATGATCTTTGATCTAGAAATTCTTCTGACTCTCCTTTGGAAAATTTCTCATGCCTTTGTGCACGTCAGCCTGGTTTCAGCACCACCCTCGACTCTAGTAAACACATCATACAGGGTGAGATATTTATGAACAGCTCGTTTACTCTTCAAAAATCACCTTTTATCACATTCTTTGACTCTTTTTGTTAACTTTAGAGGGTGGTAGTTTGTAATACAAAGTCATTTAAATATTTCCATTAAAAAAACTTTTAAATGGTTTGTCTTTCGTTAGGTTTTATCCTGAAATCATTTTATTTTATTTATTTTTTGGTACCAGGGAGTGAATTCAGGGGCTCTCAACCACTGAACCGCATCCCCAGCCTTATTTAGTATTTTATTTAGAGACAGGATCTCACTGAGTTGCTTAGCACCTCCCCATTGCTGAGGCTGGCTTTGAACTCTATCCTCCTGCCTCAGCCTCCCAAGCCTCTGGGATTATAGGTGTGGGCCACCACTTGGCCCCAAATCACTTGAAAGTGAGTTGGGGCATGCTCCAGCTGCAGCAACGTGCCTGACTTTCTTGAAGGCCAGCCTGTGTGACCTCTTATAGTGGTATACATGGGTAGGGGTAGGGGCTGGATAGGGACAGTGGCATGTCACCTCCGGAGATTCTGCTATGGTGCACAGACAGGGTTGGGGGCACAGGGCAGAGCCAGCCTTGTCAATAGGTAAGAGGACAAAGCAACAGGAAGTTGCAGAAACTGTGTGGAGCTGCCCAGTCAGCCCTAGGCCCTGAGTGGTGCCACTCCATCCCTCTTGTATCTGCTCATTGCCTTTGGGGTCCTGGAGGTAAGAGAGGATCAGAACTGGGAGGTACTTGAAGTTGCTTACCTACTTTTGCCACCTCCATTTATGAAGTCAGTAGCCTTATTTCTCATTTAACTCAGTCCCAAATTATTAATTTAAATTTAGGATTGGGCTGGGGATGTAGCTCAGTGGTAGAGCACTGGACTAGCATCCACAGGCCCTGGTTTGATCCCCAGCAACAATAGCAAACAAGAGCAAAAGTGAAATTAATTATAGTCAATCCTTCTGTCTTGATTGATAAACACTGAAAGTCTATCTATCAGGGACTTTCTTTGAGAGGGAGAACTGGAATGAATATATGTTAACTTTAAATAGCTGAATCCGTCATTTTCCACCAGAGCCTGCAAAGCCAATGCTGTAATGTAATAAGTAGACTCCAAGTTCCACACCAGCATAGCATGTGCCATTATATCGTAACCCATTAAGTTTTAAGTTTTCAATTCTGCAAATATTTCAATGAAATTGACACAGGTGCATTAAAGTAGGCTGAAAATCATAATCTAGAGCTTATATATATATATTATACTAATATTATGATATTATATTAATAATGTAATATATTTATACTCTTTTTAATACTGTATTTAAGTTTTTATAGGTATTCCAGTTCTGGGACATGGGACACAGTAGATTAAAGTTTTAGTTTTTTAATTTTTTAAAATTTTTATCCCATTTTAAACTTTATTTCTTAGTAGTCCCTAGATATTTTTGAAGTTATGATAAATTACACTTGAAAGGTTTTCTTGTAAGGCTTCTGAATTGGCCTTTTCTGGGTATATATTCTTCATTTCTCTTTACAAAATCCTTAGTCCCAGTGGTGACAGTTACTGACTGGGAAGACTGGCGTTCAGATGAGAAGGGAAGGGAGCTGACCAGGCAGGAAAGGGGAAGTAGGATTTGCCCCTCTTGGTGGGTGAGGTTTGACCACACGACATGAAGTGGGGCGGCCCACACGTGAGCAGAAGGTAAGACAGCTGCTGCCTGAATACCAGTTTGACTGTATTGTTTTCCTTTTTGTGTCAATTGTGTATCCTGCCCTTTCTCACCGTGCGCCCCCTGCCAGTGGACGCTCTGGGTAAGTCTCATCCTCAATCTCTGGTGGCTGGTCACGGCGTGGTCCTTGCTGTGGGCTTTCCGTGGTTGATCAGACCTATGCTAGTTGCCTAAGTTTTCCTGCCAGCTCAGAACAATCACTTGTGTCTCCTTAATTTCCCATAACTTGAAGAAAATTGTGTGTGTGCGTGTGTCTTAATCATTTTCTTTCTTGGATGTTTGGCCATTAAAGGTGTTAGGCTGTTGCATCTGCCTAGTTCAGTAATAGACTCATGGAAAAAAGAAATACCGAGTGATTTACACCCTCCCTCCCACAGGACACCAATGTATTTATACATGCATACGTGTCTGCACTTGGCTGTTTATGTATTATGTGGCCCACAAACAAAATATGAAGAGCTGTACCAAATAACTCCTCAAAATTATTACTGAATCAGATTTGATTAGATGAAGCTTCAAGATACCTGACTTTGTCCACCCAGGACCATAGCATTCTTTTGAAAATCAAGAATTCATTTTAAAAAACCAGAAGTATTTCTTATTTCAGCAGAGTTTGTGAAAAGTTTCAGAGGTATCAGATCTTCAAATTCAATACTTACAATGATTCTCTTGACTGAATGTGACCCTCACTCCGTGGGTGATCATGCTACTGAAATGCAAGCTGCTTTGGAGTCTCGTTGCTGTCCCTGTCTCAGGAAGGTCTGTCTGTGAGGTGTCCGTGTGGCTGTCTTGCCTAAGCGTGCCCAGCTATTTCCCGAGCATTTTACTGGCAGCTCCTAAGAGGTGTTTGAATTGGATTGTGTCTTCCACGGTGAACCCAATCCACGCAGTCTTCTTTGACAGCGGAGTCAGGATGTCCCACTGTCCGAGGAGACGCAGTTTTGCCTCTGTGTCCCTTTGTGATGTTGGGCTAGTCGTCCCCCAACTTTAAAAAAGGACGGTACCTTTCAGTTCTCAATATTGTGATTATGAAGCTGCTTGAATGGTTATAGTAAACCTCTGGAAGGAAGGTAAGACAAGCCACGTTTTTGCTTATAACATCAAATTTATAATTTAACCATTTTAAATTGTGTGTTTCAGTGGCCTTTAAATATTCACAGTGTTGTGCAAACATCAACACTATCTAATTTCCCTAGAAGGACACCTCACGCCTCTTCAGCAGTAGTCCCTGTCACCCAGCTCCCCACCCCTCAGAACCACTCACCCACTTTCTTCTGTCTCTGGATTCACCTCTTCTGGACATTTCATATACATGGAATCATACAATATGGGGCCTTTTGTTTTTTGTTTTTTGTATCAGGGATTAAACCCAGGGGTGCTTAACCACTGAGCTACACCCACAGCCCTTTTTATTTTGAGACAGAGTTTCACTAAGTTGCTGAGGCTGGCCTTGAACTTGTAGTCCTCCTGCCTCAGCCTCCTGAGTTGCTGGGATTACAGGCATGTGCCACCAGGCCCTGCTCAATGTGGGGACTTTTGAGGACAGTCTCTTGACTCTTTAAGTTTTATGAGACGTTTTACTGAGAGCCTGGCATGAGTCAGTTCAGGGGGTAAACAACATTTTTGTTTGAAAGGATGAAAGATAGATTTGGAATGAATGAAGAAACCACATAGCCACCTGACTTTTCAACTTCTAAAGATTCTGCTCATTTTAGTCACAGACATTTCTGCAGCCCCATTAGTCCCCTCTCTTGCTGGGGCAGTTTCAGAGGGCAGAGCCACAGTGCTGGATGTCAGCAGTGGTGATTGGGAATGAAAAACCAAGAATAGGGCTGGGCTGTGGCTCAGGGGCAGAGCACTTGCCTAGCAGGTGTGAGGCATGGGGTTCGATCCTAAGCACCACCAAAAACAAACAAATGAAAAATTGAAAAAAACAAAAAAAAAAAAATTAATTTTGATCAATATATGTAGATAGATAGATACTTGGAACTCTGCTTTGAGCTAATTAGAACTATTTACCTCAAACCTCAGAAGTCCGGGTCCCTGCATAAGCAGGAGCAGGGACCTCTGCAATGGAAGGAATTTGCAACTCCTTCCTCTGCCTGATTCCCTGGAGGAACTTGATCTTCCTCAAACCAGTTCTTTAAGCTGGTGCTCACATCCTGTGACAGATACCAGCAAAAGGTGTGGGTGGGCAGAGAGGAGGGGCCTGGTGGGCTTGGAGGTGGCATCATGGCCCTGGGGAGGATGACAAGGTTCAGTTGGAGGAGAACCAGGAGAGGTGCTCAGGCAGAGGGACAGGATGACCCCGGATGTGGCCATGTAATCAGGAGCCCCAGAAACAGTGGGAGGGTAGACCTGGTGCAGGGGGTGCTGGGAGAGGCACTGTGTGACACCCAGGGACAGCCTCAAGCCAGGGTGGACTGCAAGCGGAGAACTCGGTGACCTCAGGCTGCAAGCGCACGCAGCCTCAGCCCCAGGATGGTGCTATCCCTGGACCTCTTTTCCGATCAGATGCCAGACTAGACTGCATTTCTCCTCACAGCATCCATCTTTCCTGGAAATCCCCAGCACTGTTGAATCTTCTACGGTGGCAGTGGTTTATGTCCTCAACCCCACACAGCCTGTGCATGTATCCACATGAGCATTTCTCCTGTGTCTGCCAAGCCAGCGACACCACCGAGTGGCCCTGAAACCTGCAGCCAGTGGGTCAGTCACCCTGCCTCAGTGGTGAAAACTGGATGTGCCCAAGGCCCCTCCAGCCACCCCTCCGTGGTTCTTGCAGAGGAATGCTGCTAGGATTCCTCTCCTGCAGGAGGAGCCAGTGGAGAGAGCTGGGGGATGTTTCCACTTGGTCCTTAGAGGAGGCCACACCCAGTGCTGGAGGCAGAGGGGGGTTCAGGAGGAAAGCCAGGTTCTCCCTATCTGAGTGGAAGCTGGGGTGGTAGGATTTCCCCCTTTCAGACCTGCTGTGACAGTTGGGAAGCTGTCCCTGACCACAGTAGGTCAGTAGAGGCTTTGAATTCAACCCTGCAAGCGCCTGCTTGGGACCCTCACATTTCACATGGGAGCTCCTAGTCCTCGGCCTGTGTTCACCAGCCTGTCTCGCAGTGGGGCTTCTGGGTAAAACCCGCCAGGCAGTTGAGGGCTCCACCTTTGCACAGCTGGTCTCTGGTGGAGCCTCATGCTGGTAAGGATGGCCACCAGTGCCTTGCTGGTGATTTGCTGGTGACTCTGGGCTCAAAATGTTCCCATGCACAATGAGTGTTTGGAGTTTCTCACCCCACCCTGGTGTCCCTGTGGCCACATTCAGAGGCCAGGGGGAGAGGTGTCTACAGGGTGGGGTCTCAATAGGAGTCCAGTGCTTTTATCAGCTTTAATTTTAATAATATGCAAAACAACAGTTAAAAGAACAACTTGCTTGAAATGCTGATTCCTTACATGTGTGGTTTGGGGACACTGAACGGACATGAGGAGCATGACTAGATGGCACCGAGGGAGGGGCTGGCTGCTGCCTCCCTTCAGGTGCAACCATAAGCCTTTCTCCCGGGGCTAATCGAGTCCCACCAGGTGCCATTCTTCACTTCAAGAATGTTCTTCTTGACTACTGCAGTTGGGTCTCACAGCAAGGAAGCCTTTGCTCACCCCCAAAACACGGAGGAGGAGCCTGTTCTGGGTTGGATCTGCCAGCTGCTCCAAGGCCCAAGATGGCAAAGGCATTTATGTCTAATGTCACTCCTAATGACACTCCTGTCATTCAGGAAGCTGGGGGTGGGGTGGGCGTGGGAGGAACTGGAGCAAAGACCAAATCTATGTTTTTGAATTAGCCAGCAGCATTTTCACATCCTACAGAGGATGCAACATCAGGGGTCCCATTCATTATGAAGAAAGTGCCCGTAGGTGAACACAGAGACAGGGACCTGGTTCCGGGAGGAGCTAGCCTAGGCAGGCTCTTGAAAGTTGAATTGGGAGGAGGAAGGGGTGGGTGGGGGAAGAAGGGCGATCCTGCACCCTAGGAGGAGGGAGTGGGTGTGAGGCACAAAAACCCAGGTAGCAGGAAGCTGGAGATGTCTGCTGTTGCCGCTTCCATTCGTTTCCTCAGGTGCAGGATGCTGGGGTGCGGGATGGATTATGGGCAGCCACACCCTCCTGGCCTCCCAGACCAGGGTGGAGTGGTGTGGAGAGGGTGATGCCTTTCCTCCCATCACGGGGGTCACAGCAACACCCCTCAAAAATATACCAAGTTTATTTAACCGTAGTATCAGGTGACACAGGAACCTTCAGAGGAAGACCCAAAGACACTGCTGTGTGCTTAGCTTTGGTGAAGTAGGGGTGGCCTGCTGTAGCCCTGTGGTTGGACAGAGGGTCTGCACTAGTGGTCATAGACTGAGGGGGACACCCAGCAAGGCATCTGATCATATTCTTCTTAGTCTCTCTACGATATTCCTTCTGTCACCAGAGGGGGTCCAAGGAAGTCCTGGAGAGGGGACTTCTCAACTCAGGGTTCAACAATGGGGTTCTTGATCAATGTTATGGAAAAGAATTTCAAAGCCTGTCAGAGAGGAACAAGCTGAGATCGGATCAGGAAAGCAAAGAATACATACTTGGGTGGGCGGGGGGGGGGGAACATGGGCTGTCTCAAAGATTGGCATGCCCTTTTGGGGTCTTTTAAAGGAAGCTCTGTGAGGAGTGGGCATGGGAAGAAATGTGGGGATGCCATTAATCTGGTAATCACAAGATGGGTTAAGGTTCTCAGGATCTTAAGGTTGACATCTCCATTATCTGATCAATAAATAACATTGGGAATGTACCCTATGAGTTTCTTAAAATAGCATATCTCCCTTTGCTTAATCTGTTCTAAAAATACATGTGTTCGCACATTGCAGAGGGCAATTTTGGCTAAGTGAGTGAATTTACTGTAACTTCAAGATTGATAGATTTCTCAGAAATTTGGGAGTGACCCGCCAGGGAGCTGACTAATGGAGAAAAGGAATGAGGATCTTCAGCAGCAGGCTTTCCGATTGAATTTACAGTCTCCTTCTCTCTTCTTCTTTCTGCCTTTTATTTCTTCTATCTCACCTT